GAGAAAGCATATTTTCAAATGCCACCGGGATGCCTGGGAAAGGGAGCGAAAACTCTGGGAGAATGCACTTCCAAGACCATCTACACCACCCCCACCACCATCAAAGTGGTTCAGCCAACCACCACCAACACCACCGCAAGTGGAAAACTGGGACAACGAATTCTCAGGGACCTATGTCCCAAAGTTAGATAGATCCCTGTTTTTAGATAGAACAGCCTTAAACGCCTACCATGCGACATTTAACAAATATATAAGAAAACAATAATTTGTTATTTCTATCGCTATCACCCCACCACTATCATTTACCACACCATCATTTACCACCTCTAAAAACTTCTTCCCTACAAATATCAACGACCACAACTAAGTATTTGTGTCTGTGTACAAGGAGATAAGTCTAAGATGTTTCTGCCTAGCAATGTGTTAATACTATTAAATGTGCTTGTTGAAAACAACTTGTATATTTACACCACTTCAAATATAAGTCTGCTGTATATTCAGACGTACGAAAAAGAATTTTGGGAAAAAATGACTCCGATCAATCTAATCGAAACCAGTTATCATCTCTTCTATGCGAAAAATATAACAATGCAGAATCATTTGACTTACAAGATAAAAACGGAAGAAGAAAATCACCAATTTTCCAATTGGTTAATAATAGAAAATACTAAGAACAGTCGCAGTTCAAAGGAAGTCATTGATTTTTGTTTAAGAAACGATCGTGTATGGTTTGCTTCATTTTTTGTCATATTCACGATAATGACTGTAATAGTGGGATGTTGGGACCTGGCTGCTCGTTAATGGTGGTGGTGATGGTTGTTGCTATATATATAGAATTCCGCAACAACAAACTATTCATTTCATCCAAACAATGTTCGGCTTAAACTGCACACTTGTTCTATCAACCATTCTAATTCAGAAAGATTTTTATTTATTGACTGATAGCAATGTTACTGATGTCTATCTACAAACTATTGATAGTAGTAAAGAATGTATTGTTAGAAAAATGTTAGAAATTAAAAATGGGCATGAACAACTACGTATGTTTTATTCAAAAAATGTATCTTCCTCGAACCAACTGCAATATCGGCTAGAATTAGTCTTCAAAGACAACACTCGATGCAAGTCACCGAATTACACCATCATTAACGATTATAGTGGATACAAGAATTCTACAGGTGCAAATGTTACAGAATATTGTTTGGCAAAACCATGGATATGGATATTTACTTCAGTAGGAGCAATTATTTTTGCAATCGTATTTTGTCTGTTACTTTATTTAGTATTAATTTGTTTCAGTTATTTTAGTAAATACAATACTCAAACAAATGTATGATTCAATAAAACAATTAGTTACTATTAATAGTTTTATTTAATGTCCTTTAACATATTTATTTAACAGCATCAGTACTACGATTTAATACAACAATAAGTTATTTAATATGTTTTAAATTATTTGTCCAGCTGCACGATATGACTCATCATGATCCACCACCACAGCAGTGATTTTTGATGATTGTTTATAGGTTTTTGATTTTCGTTTTTAAATGATTTTTTGTTGTTTTCATATAAAATTCAACAAAAAGCCGTTTTTGGTTAACTTGAAATTTTTTTTTTTTAATGTCTTAGTATATTTAGTTGTGATGGTAGTAGTCATATAACAATACATATAAAGAACAACTTATTTCGCTTTTTTTTTTTTTTTTTTTTTTTTTAAGTGTTGCATGTTGGGCTTATTCGAATCCTTTTTCGATGGTCTTTTTTTCGACCTGAAAAAATTTTTACGTAGCGACCTCGAAAAAACTAGAAATGGCTCCTGTATCTAGGTCGATGTGGACAGAATCGATTTTTTTGAGCAGACTTATGCGTTCGTTCCAGAAGAAGGTTTTGATGTATACAACCGATATTCTATCTCTTACCATTTGGACACTAGAAACTTTTGCCCTTTTCTCCCTTATTTTCAACTTTTTTGAAAATTTTTTTTGCTCAACATATGGCTTAATTTTTTTAGCTTTTCCCCGTTCCCCTGAGCCGACATGCTACCTCTTACCGCTTACGAACTATGACGTTTTTTCGTTATTACTACTAAACGGTAGCAAAAAATATTTATTTTGCTAAGTGGACCTATAGACTGTTCACTCAGAAATATTTTGGTACAAAAATATATTTTTTAAGTTTTACCGTTTGGGCGCCACAAACTTTTGCCCTTTTCACAGTCATGTCAAAAGTTAGCGAAAAACCGTCGACGGCTGTCGATATTATTTGTTTTTGTCAATCTTTTTTGCTCTATACACGAACCTCCTATCTCTTACCATTTTCGAGTAACCAAAATTTTTTCTATTTAAACGGTAGATACACCTATGAGTCATAATCATTTTTACACACGATTAGATAGTACTTCATGAATATGCATTTGATTTTGTGGAAAAACAAACTTTTCAAAATTTGGATTTTTTTTTTGAGATTTTTTTTGTTTTAATTTTTCTTTGGATTCTTTGAATTTTTTAAATTTTTTTTTTCACCAAAACTTCTAATTTACTTTCCTACTGCTCAAGGAAAACTTTTTTTCGAATTTTGACAACCTTTTTTGACAAAAATTGTTGCGCCCCAAACTCAAATTTTCACATATTTAATTACATGGACCTATTGATTATTCATCCAAAAATATTTTGACACAAAAAACAAATTTTTAACTAATTCCGTTTGGTCACCACAAACTTTTGCCCTTTTCTCCGAAATGCTAAACTCAAACTAAAAACCGTCGACACAGGTGCATGTGTTTCGTATTTTAGGAACTTTTTTGTTCTTTGCACGAACCTCGTATCTCTTACCGTCTTCGAGTAAAACATTTTTTTTTTTATATTTAAACAATTATTGCACCTCCATCCCACATTTATTTTTACACAAATGTGTCATTAGTTTATAGGGATGCATTTTTATTTTTTTAACAAACTTTCTGCCCTTTATCACCCTCAAGCGATAATTCTTTTTTTTTTAATATTTCCGAATACGTCCCTGTCTATTGCGACAAAAGCGTCCAGTTCCGTAAGAATTTGCTGAAACAGCATCGCGTTATTTCATTCTGTGTTGTAATAATGACGGGCGGCGTGTTTCGGTTTATGAATTTTACCGTGAAAAGATTTGGGAAAAAGGTGGTTTTGTTGAACTAAATGGTGGCTTCTGTGAAGTGTGCGTGTATTTGAATGTTTTCGAGGGAGAACGGATGATTTTATTGCCTGTTTTCAATGTCGTAAGTAACAATTTTTTTAATTTTTAACAACACACTCGCCTTCTGACATTTGAGATTTTATTCTAATAATCACGGACAAATAAGCTTAAATCGGCAGAAAGTTGCTGATGAACATTTATTTATTAAGAAAATAACAGGAGTTTTGTCGGAGCAAACACGGCTTTTATTCGTTGCTGTTATTCCCAATTAAATAATTTTAGATGAGACTGGGGAAAATAATACACCAAACGAAATAAACAATATTTATTATAATTTCAATTACAGCTTAAGATTATACAAACTAGTTCGTATTTTATACATTTTAAGAAACTAATAAGTTTTAAATTTAAATCTAATTTACGACGCAGTGGTTTAACCGCAATGTGCACAGTTATTTAACTGATTTTCTTTGCTGAATAATTTTCAATTCTGAATCCAATTTTTCGATTGTTTCTCTAAATTTTCGCTTCTTCTCCATCATTTTTTCGATTAAGGGCTTTATTTGCAATTCGAAACGTTCCACATTCATTTGAAATCTTTTAACATCGTATAACCAAGTATTAATTCGGCTTTCTTTATCATTTATTAAGAAAATAACCGGAACTTTGTCGAAACAAACACGTCTGTTATTCATGACAGTTTGCAATCAAATATTTTTTACATGAGACTGGGGAAAATAATACACCGAACGAATTAAATAATATTTATTATAATTTCTATTACAGCTTAAGATTATTCAATTTAGTTCTTATTTCATACATTTTAATTGCTTCTTTTAAATAACTAATTCGTTTTAAATGTAATTCTAATCTACGACGAAGCAGTCTAACTGCACTTGATTTGTTTTCCACATGAACCAATGCCTTCTTCATTCTTCGATAAATTCGATATTGATGGTTCGACCGATCGGACCTCTATTTACCAAGTACAATTTCAAGCCGTTCACGATCTTCTGGTTCAGATCGCTGATCACTGAGTCGGTGAATTTTTCGGTAAATCTCTGTGGAAGTATCGTTCTAGACTCTTCAAGTTGCACAAATATCTTGTCACCGTACTTTGTAGACAGTTTACTAAAATTTTTTGTTAAAAATTTTTTATTTTCTTCTAAAGTTTTCGCACTCACAAAAGCTTGCAAGTGAGACTCTTTATTCAAGGTAGAAATGAAAGATGACATTTCTAAGTGTTAAATAATTGAATTCAAAAAACTAATTAATTCTTACACACGAATCCATCGACTTTTATACAAGTATAAAACGGAAGTGGGGATGCGAGATTGCGTCCGAGATCCCTCCCCGACCTAAACGAAAAGAGGGGATAGATCTCGAGATGAACGAGGGCAATAAACGACCAAGGTCGAGCAACGACTAGGTCAATGATCGCCCGATGAAAAGTAATGGGGGAGCTGGACCAGCTGGCAAGGTCAGCCACGTGCACCGACAAGCTCGACAACAAATGAAAGGTCAATGACCGCTCGATGAAAAGTAATGGGGGAGCTGGACCAGTTTGACCTCATTTGACCTGGTCTAGAACCCCCACTATATAACTACTTCAGTCCACAATTTACATGTTTTTCCGCTCGCCGGTTAAAAATATCCTAAAATCGATAAAAATAAAATGATCACTGTCGAGTAAAAATTCCACATCCCATTTAAAAAATGACCCAACATCCACTTCTCGCGACTCCGTCGCCAGCCCTGACATTTCGCCCCAATAAGTCTTTACACTTTTCATTTTTATCCCACCCCCGCCTCCCCGCCCTGCCATTGTTCACCCCGTTTCAATCTCCCTCGACATCTCCGAGTGCCCTCGACTTAACGTGTTTAGAGCTCCTTCTTTTTGTTCGGGCGGACCTTGACTGCAGACGAATTTTCGGACACAAATCATCACGTCTGTGTAAAACGGCGGTGTTTCCACGCAGGAAAGGAACGATCGTGCGATAACGCTCAATTTTTCATTTCGTAGTGGAGTTGGCAATTGTTCCCGAAAGAAAAGTCCTCTATTACGGCCGCCCTTTCGAGAGTAATACACCGGAAGTCAGTCGATACGAGACGTGGAACGTGGAGCTGTCAGAGGGTTAACTAATCTCGGTGAGGCTTCGATTAATATAGAGGATCTCTTGTTTAATAGACAAGAAAATGGGGCCGGCCTGTTGTGATGAAATCTGATACTGATTAGCTCTGGAGAGATGTTGGACGTGGCGGGGTTGTGGAGGGCGGATTGAGAGCTCTTGAGGGGGACGAGGAAATTCGTGGTACGTCTTGGGGTTGGGGGGTGGAGTGTCCGGGTAGGGTCTGGCATTTTTTCGATAATTGAGCTGTAAATATATAAAAGGCGAGCTGACCTCCTGGTGTTTAAGAGGACATAGAAACGTAATTTATAACATAGCTACCTGTAATGAATTAATAAAGTGATTCTGGAGACAAAATTGATGTTGTGGTTGAACTTTTATATTAAAGAAAATTCCTCCAAAAATAGAACACAGAAATTGATAGACGGCGAAAGACAAATGAGGGAAGGCAGAAGATGGAAGACAGATCGCCATCCAGACAGGCAGACGGAAAAATACAGACAGATGAACAGAAACAACAGATGACTGACAGTGGTTGACGGAAAACAGATAAAGCAAGATCAACAAATAGACGAACAAGGGAAGAAAAACAGAAGCAGACAGACAAATAGACAAATGAAGATTAAAGACAAACGACCGAAGACAAATCTCGGAAGACACACGATAGAGGAATTGACAGACAGACAGATAAAAAACTGACAATAAACGACGAATATAGACACAAGAGACAAAAACCAAAGACGAACGACGAAAGGTTGAAGATACAAGATACAGAGAGATTAAAGATAGACGACTAATGATAAACAATAGATACACAACAGATGATGGTTCACAGACTGAGGGAAGACAGATAGATAAACAAAGACGGAAAACTGAAGATGAAAGAAAGGCCAACTGGAGATTAACGACGAAGGATCGAAGACGAACGAGGAGAAGGAGAAGATAGAAACTAGAGAGACAGATTAAAGATGAACGACTAGTGACAAAAAATAAAGTACAGATGAGAAACGACAGATTGACAACAGATAATTAGAAAACAGATGATAGTCCACGGAAAACAGTAAACAGACAATCAATGACAGAAAGGAGATGGACAACAGACAGACGGAAAACAGACTGATCGATGACTGATTCCAAATGACGGAAGACAGACAACGAAAAACAATCGATGAAATATAGAAAGACACATAAACGACAGAAGACAAACGATGGAAAACAGGCTGAGGGAAGACATAGATAAACGAAGACGGAAAACTGAAGATGAAAGAAAAGCCAACTGGAGATTTTTTCACATTTTACTGTTCGCCTTAAGTCTTTTTTTTCCTCTTTGTGGCCATCTTTTGGCTCTTTTTTTGGCTGGCTTTTTTTCTGTGGCTTTTTATTGTTTTTTCCGCCCTTTTTTGCCTTTTTTTAATCACTTTTTAGTCATATTCTCCTCTCTGTTTCCCCCGCAATTTTGTGTTCTTCTTATGGCTTTTTTAATATTTTTCTTGACGCATTTTTCCCCTTTTTTCATGTCCTTTTACTACTTTTTTACCACTTGTATTTTTTATTACCTTTATTTATCACTTTCTTTGGTCCATTTTTTATCGTTGTTTCTTGTTGCCCTTTTGGTTTCTTTTTTATCTTTTTTTTTCAGTTTGTTTTCTCGCTTTTTTACGGCCCTTTTTAACATTTTACTGTTCGCCTTTTCCAATATCTTTTCTTCGGTTTGCGTCGCCTTTTTTGCTACTTTTTGTCGCATTTTTAGTCTTTTTTGTAGCCCTCTTTTAGCTCTTTTTGGCTTTCTGGTTTTTGTTTTTTTTGTGGCTTTTTATTTATTTTTTTCACCCGTTCTTGGCTATTTATTTTGTCACATTCCCCTTCCATTTTAATCTGTTTTTCCTTGATTTTTTGTGGTCTTTGTGTTTTTTTTTATATTTACTTGATGCATTTTTTCGTCTCTTTCTGGTATTCTTTTTTCTCCTTTCTTATGACTTTTGTTGGTCCCTTTTTTTTCGCTTTTTTTTGTTGTCTTTTTGATTTCTTTTTTATCTCCTTTTTTGTGGTTGTTTTCTCGCTTCTTGTGGCGGTTTTTTTCACATTTTACTGTTCATTCACGTCTGTTTTTCGTCGATTCGCATCGCCTATTTTGTTGCTTTTTGTAGCCTCTTTTTTGTCGCTTTTTGTGACCTTTTTTGTCCCATTCTTCCCCCATTTTACCTTGTTTAGTCATTTTCCCCTTTTTACCTTCTTTAGTTATTTTTTCCTCTCTCTTTTTCTCCGCTTTTTTGTCGTTTATTTTTGGCTTTTCTGGTTTTTGACGCCAATTTTTTCGCCTTTTTTCGTCTCCTTTTGTTATCCTTTGTTCCATTTTCTTACCTCTTTGTTCACTCCCTTTTTTATCGCTTTTTCTTGTTGTCTTTTTGGTTTCTTTTTTATCTCCTTTTTTACTGTTCTCCTTTTCTTGTTTCTTTTTCGTCGCTTCGCATTGCCTTTTTCGCTGCTTTTTGTGGTCTTTTTTTAAGTCTTTTTTTGTCCTTTTTGTAACCCTCTTTTGGGTCTTTTTTGACTCCCTGTTTTTTCGGCTGGCTTTTTTCTGTGGCTTTTTATTGTTTTTTCCGCCCTTTTTTGCCTTTTTTTAGCCACTTTTTCGTCATGTTCCCCTCTCTGTTTCCCCGCTATTTTGTCTTCTTTTTGTGGCTTTTTTCGTATTTTTTGACGCATTTTTTCCCCTTTTTTCGTGTCCTTTTACTATTCCTTTTACCACTTTTTTACGACTTTTTTGTCTTCCTTTTGTATCGTTTTTTTTTCTTTTTTTTTTGTGTCCTTTTTTATCTCGTTTTTGTTGTTGTTTCCTCGCACTTTTATGGCATTTTTCACTATTTTCTATTCACCTTTTCTGCCTCTTTTTGATCGCTTCCTCCCTTTGTATCGCCCTTTTTTATAAATTTTGCCTCGCCTTTTTTTTTGCTGTTTTTTGTGGCCTCTTTTTTGTCGCTTTTTGTGACCTTCTTTGGTCACTTTTGTCACATTCTTCCCCCATTTTACCTTCTTTAGTTATTTTCCCCTTTTTACCTTCTTTACTTATTTTTCCCCTCCCTTTTTCTTCTCCGCTTTTTTGTCGTTTTTTTTTTTGCTTTTCTGGTTTTTGACGCCAATTTTTTCGTCTTTTTTCGTCTCTTTTTGTTATCCTTTGTTCCATTTTCTTGCCTCTTTGTTTGGTCCCGTTTTTATCGCTTTTTCTTGTTGTCTTTTTAGTTTCCTTTTTGTCTCCTTTTTTTGTCGTTATTTTCTCGCTTTTCTATTTCCGTTTTTCACATTTTACTGTTCGTCTTTTCGCATTTCCTTTTTTGTTGCTTTTTGTGGCCTTTTTTTTGTCCTTCTTGTGGCCCTCTTTTGGCTCTTTTTTGGCTACCTGTTTTTTTGGTTGGCTTTTTTCTGTGGCTTTTTATTGTTTTTTCCGCCCCTTTTTGCCTCTTTTTAGTCACTTTTTAGTCATATTCTCCTCTCTGTTTTCCCGCTATTTTGTGTTCTTCTTGTGACTTTTTTCATATTTTTTGAAGGATTTTTTCCCCTTTTTTCATATCCTTTTACTATTCCTTTTACCACTTTTTTACGACTTTTTTTGTCCTCCTTTTTTTGGTTTCCTTTTTTTATCTCGTTTTTGTTGTTGTTTCCTCGCATTTTTATGGCATTTTTCACTTTTTTTCTATTCACCTTTTCTGCCTCTTTTTAATCGCTGCCTCTCTTCTTTATCGTTCTTTTTTATAAATTTTGCTTCGCCTTTTTTTGTTGCTTTTTGTAGTCTCTTTTTTGTTGCTTTTTGTGACCTTTTTTGGTCACTTTTGTCACATTCTTCCCCCATTTTACCTTCTTTAGTCATTTTCCCCTTTTTACCTTCTTTAGTTATTTTTTCCTCTCCCTTTTTCTCCGCTTTTTTGTCGTATTTTTTTGACTTTTCTGGTTTTTGACGCCTATTTTTTCGCCTTTTTTCGTTTCCTTTTGTTATCCTTTGTTCCATTTTCTTGCCTCTTTGTTTGCTCCCTTTTTTATCCCTTTTTTTTTGTTGTCTTTTTGGTTCTTTTTTTGTCATTGTTTTCTCGCTTTTCCATTACCTTTTCTCGTCTCTTTTTCGTCGCTTCGCATCGCCTTTTTTGATGCTTTTGTGGCCTTTTTTAAGTCTTTTTGTTGGTCCTTTTGGTGGCCCTTTTTTGGCTTGACTTTTTTCTGTGGCCTTTTATTGTTTTTTTCCGCCCTTTTTTGCTTTTTTTAGTCACTTTTTAGTCATATTCCCCTCCATCTTTTATATATTTTCCCCGCTATTTTGTGTTCTTCTTGTAGCTTTTTTCATAGTTTTTGACGCATTTTTTTTTTCCTTTTTTTTATGTCCTTTTTGTTGCCCTTTTGTTTCGTTTTTTTGTTTCTTTATCTCGTTTTTTGTTGTTGTTTCTCGCATTTTTATGGCCTTTTGCACTTTTTTCTATTTACCTTTTTTGTCTATTTTTGATCGTTTCCCCCCTTTTTATCGCTCTCTTTTATAAATTGTTCCTCGCCTTTTTTTGTTGCTTTTTGTGGCCTCTTTTTTGTCGCAGATTGACAACAGATAATTAGAAAACAGATGATAGTCCACAGTAGACAGACAAACAATGACAGAAAGAACACGGAAAACAGACAGATCGATGACGGAAGACAGACAACGAAAAACAATCGATGAAAGACAGATAGACAGACAGACGACAGAAGACAAACAATGGAAAACAGACTGAGGGAAGACACATAGATAAACGAAGAGGGAAAACTGAATATAAAATTAAAGTCAATTGAAGAATAAAGA